AAAACAGACGAAATATTTGTGAAACATAAAAATAAACTAGAAAGTTACAATGTCAGATAAAAATAATTAAAATACCAGTTCCAAATTTTGAATAAGTACTAAATACTTCTTGATCACTCTTCGTATAAATAGCGCCGTGTCGCGTGCCAGATCACTCGTCGTCGCCAGTGCTGACCTAAATTCGAAATGAAGATGGCGCGCAGGTAATTAGTTCCGTATGGAAAGCGAGGTCGCCGTCGCCACACCATCGCCGCCGCGGCCGCCGTGCAACAAGAATGGACGAACGAATTATGTGGAGCGGCGCGCGAGAGATGATGCACTGCGGCTGTGGGTGGTGTTGGCTCTTTGCCCAATTCACGACACGTTAAGGTGAATGAGGTGAATGCGCGCCACGCGAACTACCATCGCTAGCCATCACTTCATACACTTGTATCTATGTGTTTGTACAGTTACTATGGCAAGAAATAACCAGAACTTAAAGAAAACAAAAGAGCGATATTCGAATGCACTCCGTAGGTAGGTACTTCTACTTGTTCTTTATATTGCGTCAATTCGTCACGCGATCCTGTTTTTTCCCGTTTCCACGCTTATGATATGTGTGCTGTTTTGTTTGTGTTGTTTATTATGAATATATATGTGTGTGTGTGTGTGTGTTAGTAAAGTGCGCGCGCGCGCGTATGTTGTGTAGTCGGGTCGGATAGAGATAGCGGTTGGTGATGGTGTGGCTGGCATTAACGCGGGGAGGCCGCGGGCGAGAGGGGAGGTCCACGCTGCGGCAGAGTGAGAGAGTGCGAACAAAGCAAAGCAGTCGTTAACGCGATGTGTCACGCGGTGGTTCTCGGCGTGCTGTTCTCGTTGCCCTCGTATCTTTATTCGGCCGTGCCCTTCAGGTGAGCCCTCGCCTCCGCCGCCCCCCGGCGCGCCCAGCCACTGCCGACGCGGTGTGCCGGGCAGCTCAGTGCCCATTTCACCAAGAGTGCGTTGTTACACAAAAAGTTCGTCGGAAGAGTATTGTTTTGGGTATCTACCCAATCGGTGATTGAACTCACGCTTGAGAATACTCCATCACATTGTGTATTTAAAAAGCAACAAAGTTATTTTCTTCTAAATACTTAATCTAGTGAAGCGACCTCGCAGTCAATACTCGATCGGATTGGTCCAGGTATGCGAGTACTGTTTCAAAACATGATTCAATTGGCCACTGTCTCACGTATACTCCACACTTTTCACGGATACTGAGACTATACACGGAGTGCCTAATTCCCTTTGTGGACACGAACAAACCACTCACGCTGCAGCACAGGACAGGTTAGGTTAATAGGAAAAGAAACTCTTGTTTCTCCAATATTATTATTCATGTTATAACAGTTTCATGTGGCGTAGTGGTGCTCGGCGTTGTGCGCGTTTTGCGATCCTCCTGGTCATAACCTATTCGCTTTTAATTTGTTTTATTATGGCTATAAATTTGTAGCGTGACCTTCGCTGAACACTAGTCGTCACCAAATAAGAGGCCACACTTGACACTTGTCATCGTGACGCGTACAGGGATGTGGACTAATCATATCGTTAATCACATTATACGATTTTCACGAGAAATCGACTCAAAATTGTAAGAGTTTGTAATTGTTTAGATTATTTTTCGGTTCATTGTTGTTCAGGAGGCCAAAAAGACTGCTAAAAGCAATTCATTTACACAATTATTTGCAATTCTGTAGCAATTCCTCTCATTTTCGTAAAATTGTCCCACATTCCAATGAATTGTATCCAGTTCTTTTAATTTTATAATATTCGTAACTGATTTATTACGAGAACTCAGTGTAAATAAGTATGTTCATCGATAAAACAACTACATAAAAAGATTAAATTACCAAGAAACCAAGGATTTCATGAATTTTCAATTATTCGAGTGGCAATTAGTTAAAAGTTGTCGATGTCAACAACAAACAATCAAATAATGTTCATAATTTAGAAAACAGGAACAGTCTAACAGCAAAGCCGAGTCACAAGAAAAACATAAAAAATAACCAAGGGCACAGTCAACTTCCAAGATGGCGCAAGACTGCGCGGTGCGCGGACTCCGGGGGCCGCTGGATTGGTATCAGTGTTGACAATTTAAAATTTGCAAAAAAGAAAAGGTAATACAAATCTGGCTAAGAGTACGGGGCTCTTATAAATTTGATATATTATAAATTTATTTGCAATAGGTGTGGTCAGAGATGTTATATACATAATTATTTAAAATACACCTATTTTTATACATTTTTGTTTTAATATTTAATAAGCAATATTTTTCCGAGGAATCAAAGTGACTCGGTGACATTCGGCGATTAATTGCTTACAACACTATTATTTAAAAAAAATAGCTTTAGGACGTAACTGTTCAGCACGTTTCGGAGTAACTCAAAATTCCATTTTATATTGTAATTCGTGCGAAAACAGAACATCAAATATGTTTTGTCATATTATGTAATGTTGCATTAAAATTTATGTATTTTTTTAAACTCAATTATGCTAATAATTGTTTCGTTGATCGCATTCAAAGTTACATACTATCGCCTTCTTTAGCTGTCAAATGTGGCCTCGTATTTGGTGACGACTATAATACTCGTGTCGCCCGCGGCTGCGCTATTACGTGCCTTATTAATTTATTATTCAATGATGTCGATCTGCATTATGTGGCCTTTTAAATCGGGGTTTGTTTATAACTTACTGTTTTTTTTTGTTGCAAAACCTTTGGCCAACTAACTTGAACACAGAATAGACAGATATCGTTGAACTCGATCGAAACCGCCACCAGTAATTTAACGCTCGGGTGACGACTTGACGACCTAAAAATTCGAGGATACCAATTTTTAAGCACGGTCCTAAGTATGTACAATATAATTTTAGATCCACTACACTATAAAATCAGGGTGATTGTCTATCCACGTCATAACCAACATGACGTAATGTAATATCCAATGTCGTTGTACGCTGCGCCTTTTTTGCGAAGGGAGCGGCAGTCGATGGCGGCAGTGCTGCACGTAAAGACAGTAACTAAAGTATGTATGCACAGGTCAAAGGACCTCGCGAAGGCGTCTCTCACCGTCACGGGTGATAAGAATCGATCCACACTGATTTACCATACCTACGGGTAACCGCAAAATGTCACTGGTTTAATAGTAGAGCCGATCGCATGACAGCGGTCATCCTCAAAAGGATTTTGTAATCTACCGTAAATCCCCTTGGCGGGCCTCGTCTTGTAAATAACATTACATATCGAAGGATGATGTAAGTGCGATGTTAAACGTCCGTGACGTTGCTTGCTTGTTTATCGTACACTCGGTAAGTATTGATACGATAAGCTGGCGCGGGGCAGTCGGCTCATCGAGCTGCTCTCCACTAAGCATCGATTCTGCCACAGGCCAAGGGCCGCCGGCTGCCCGCATTCATCAAGCGCGTGGACTTGGCATGCCCCGTCCTAGCGTGTCCGTCTTCGTCTCGTAGGATGCGGCGGTAATGACGGTTGTCATCCGTGATAGACTAGACAACACTTGTATTCCATTAGTCGCTATAAATGTATTATAACAACAATAAATACATTACACAATTTTCCTTTATAATAGTGAAGACGACGTCGATGGCTCAGCGGTTAGTACTGTGGGCGCCGGTTGATGAGGTCCCGGGTTCGATTCCCGGTATTAGCAATTACGGAAACGAAGTTTTTTAAATTGGACCTTGTCTAAGTGTTCGAAGTTGATTTCGTTACTCTGATACTGGTAGGAATTTTCTAGGTTGACAAGATTTTATTTTTTTCAATAAAAAATAGTGATTTAATCAAATGTATTTAATTTTATTTTCTTTCACAGAAATCAACATAAAATCAGACAGTTATATTTTAAAGACTAGGGTCTTTTACATCTGAGAAATCAATATCATTATTATAATACTTAAACAAAAAAACTAGCTTGCCGTGGTTAATTAACCTTTTACATTACTACATTTTACGCAAAAATATAGTTACACTTTACGATAAAATGAAAAGAAAATCGTGATTAATTAGATTTTTATTCGATTTTTTCAAAAATTATGATTTTTCCAACCCTGGTTTAAAATCAGGTGTGGTTGTTTCGCATTATTGCTGTTATTATTATTCCAGAGACTTTGCTGTCTTTATGGATTTTAAGACTCGTGGTTGTTCACTAGATGATCACCACTAATTGCAGCCCGTGGCCATGGAGTGCGTGACCGTTCAGAAATATCGAGAAAATCAAAAGAAATCATACTGTGGCAAGAAACCGTCAATTAGTGATTTCATCGTTTAATTACTCACTATTCAGTTGGTCACAGTAGGCGGCTAAGCCTAGTCAGTGTTATCATTGCACTCGGCAGTATTATAATGCTTATGATGACATAAATCAATGATGAAACTCAGGTCTTGGTATTTGATATTCAATTTATTTAGCAAAAAGAATTGTAATTAATAAAGTATTAGGTTTAGGTTACTTCAAAAATGCTTCATGTTAACGTAAGCTTAGCTGCTCAATATATTTAGCACGAGCGCAAATATCAAAGTTCTCTCTTGTCCGTATCGTCAACTCTCCTTCACTCGTGCAAGCAGGACCGGTAGGGCTAGCACGATAGGGCGCGACTTGTCGCATAAACATCTCGCACTGTGTCGCTCTCGCGCAAGTCGCGTCTTCTCTTGCTAGCCCTACAGTACGAGAGTAAAGTTGTCGTACACGCCCCCTTAACATAACGGCCATGTTTTGCATACATTTGATAATATTCATAGCGAAATGACTCGCTGACACTCTCCTAGCATGTTTATCTTGCCGGTTTGTACTTTTGGTATTTCCTGGACTACGTTTACTGCAAAATGTTCCGCACCGGTCTCTCCTTCGGCGAGGTATTAAGTACCGGCCATTCGAGACATCATTTATCTGAGCTTGAATGTTGGTGGTTTCACAATTGACCGAAACGGAAATCACTAGGAAGTGACACTGTGGTGTCGTTTGCAGGAAGGCGCGGCGCAAGGAGCGCGAGGGCGAGGCGGCGGGCGACACCAAGCTGTACCTGCAGGAGGCGCTGCTCGAGCGCAAGCTGCCGGAGCTCGACATGCGACAGCTGGTGGACTTGCCGCACGGGCTCGACTACAATGAGTGGCTCGCCTCGCACAGTCAGTATTCAGTTCACTTCAATGTATAAGAGACGACTATCTCTTAGGTATATTTCCACAGCGTGGGCATGGGTATTTCCTTCCCGTCGGGAAAACCGCATGTTTGTAATACAGCATGTTAGCGGCGCATGTCGTCACACTGTTACAATTTTATTCAGTTCTTCGTTTGTAAGGGTCGGTATTGTTTGTAACATTGTTTTTATACATCAAGAAATTATCCACATACTATTTCACAAATTAAACTTATTAATTATCGATGACCTCGTGCTGACCGATTTGATTAACTGGAAGTTTATAATAATTATATATAGGCGCCGGTTAATTACGCTGCCTTAAGAGTCGATACTACCTCAGCTGGAATTCAAATGTTTCCCGTACTGAATCGGTTCCATGGCGCGGGTCGAGCGGCAGCGACACTGGCTTCGTTTCAGAATTTATTTTTTACAAATTAAATTAAAGCCATTCAAAAATATATTTTGTATCGTATACTATACGTGTTCTATTTAGTTTAGTTGATATATTAAAAAAATGGCATACATAAAGTACCTACTGAATACAGCGGTTTTTTTTTGCAAAAATTCGAGGTAATTAAATTTTTATTGAAATAATAGTCAATTGTTTTTTGTGAAATTACTCCCCTAGTTTGTTATAATTATTAATACAAAGATCGAACATTTAGAAAAAACCCCTTCGATCCGGCCGGATTCAAACCGTGCAATACGCTATGCTGACTAAGCCACGGAACAAAGGAATTTTGTGTTTTTGAAGTGTTCGATCTTTGTATTAATAATTACAACAAACCCGAGGTAAGTTTGTGTTTTTTTTATTGTGTAAATTTTTAGGAATCGCGTTTTCATGCCGTATGCTAACCAGTGCATATCCTCAATTATGTAGTTTTTTGAAAGTGATTGATTAAATCAACCAAAGCCATTTGAGGTATCGACTCTCAGTAAGGTAGTTGTGTCCAACACGCATGAAAGTAATCCCACCCACCTGTGTGGCGCCACCTTTGCGAGAGGCGAAGGTCGCCGGTGACTCTGTCACCCCGACGTTTCCCTAACGTGCGAAGGTTTTTTAAAATGTAGCCTGTGCCGAAGCAATAGATGTTTAATTTTCGGGCTCGTTATCACCAATCAATTTATACGTCCCACTGCTAGCCACGGGTCTCCTTTCAGACGAGGGTTTAGGCTATAGTCCGCCATGCTGACCCAGTACATGTTGGGTGGGGACTCGACATTTTTCCAGAGGGCTGTGAATCTCCTTCGACGTGCAGGTGTGTTTCCTATCACCGAACAGCTCCTGGTACCAAAAGTTAAGATTAAATTTCGCACATCAAGCCCGAAAAAGTCCGAGGTGTTGCGCTCCAGAGGCAGTAGATCAAAACATTAGGCTAGGCTCACTTATTTTGACTTCCGAGCTATCAATATTAGATTTTGTTCGAGACTAACATGCGCGGTATTGGTGTTGCAGCGCTGGCGCTGTTCGACCACGTGAATCTACTCTACGGAACGGTGTCGGAGTTTTGCACGGCCGCATCGTGCCCCGACATGACGGGCCCCGGCGGCCGCTCGTACGCGTGGTACGACGAGCGCGGCAAGAAGTCGCGCGTCGCCGCGCCGCAGTACGTCGACTACGTCATGACCTACACCCAAAAGACCGTCAACGACGAGTCCATATTCCCCACTAAATACGGTGAGCGACCGATCGTACTACACTTTACCGCGGCAGAACTGAACTGAGGACCCCTCCTCTGTGTCGGGGGCCGATTCATCGTCAACCACGCGGTGCGGCGTTGCAGGTGGCGAGTTCCCGCTGCAGTTCGAGGGCGTGGTGCGGCGCGTGGTGCGGCTGCTGTTCCACGTGGTGGCGCACATGTACGCGGCGCACTTCCGCAGCCTGGCGCTGCTGCGGCTGCACGCGCACCTGCACCTCACGTTCGCGCACCTGACGGCGCTGGACCGCCGCTTCGCGCTGCTGGACCCCAAGGAGACGGACGTGCTGCGCGACCTGGAGCTGGCGCTGCGCCTCGGCGAGGACAAGGACGCGTCGCCGCGCCGCCCGCCGCGCGCCGACGTCGTCGTCACGCAGCCGCTGGCCACCGCGTGACCAGTACTTAACTAACCGGCCCCTCGCCGCCCCTCACCGCCCCTGACCACCCCTCACCACCGTCGACGATACGGTCGAGGCGCGTGAACCTTCTGTAAGTTGAAGAATTGTTAACTCTATTGTAAATATTTCGATCTGTTAAGTAGTTTTAGGTGATTACGATTAGTTCCGTTACGATTAGTGATTTGTGATCGCTTCGGTTGTAAATAAAAGTGATATTTGTTTAACTAATAAATTGAAAGCTTTATGAATGGTTCGCTTTGTTCTTTCCGATCCCCTCCCCCGTGCTGCGCGGCGCTCGCTGCCGCCCGTGTCGAGACGGAACCCTCGAGGGTCGTTCGCTGTGAACGGTACGACGGGATAGTAAAACGCAAGGCTAAAATAAGATTTGTTTTATTTATGTAAATGCGTTTTGGTTTCATTATCGTATTATACAATTTATACAAGTCTCTCTTTATTGTAAAGTAGAAATACAAAATAATGATGAGTGTACGTACCGGCCGAGCCGAGCGGGCGCCGCCGCCGGCGCGGAAGGTACGTGCAAACAAGGCGCCTAATAAACTGATACACATTGTACGTAAACTCTTACAATCGAATTTCGGCAACGGCTACGTACGTGGACCGGTTCCGATACGCACTTTACTCGTTTGTTTTCACCGCACGATCAACTGGATTAAACAAGAGGAATAATAATATGTATATAGTATAATAATATGCATAGGAAACCACGAAAGAGGGAAATATACCGCGGCCCATCGAGTGAGCAGCGCCCTGCGCGGTCCCCGTGGCTCGGTTTGTACTTGTCTCACTTAGCGCGAATACGAGTAAAATGGCACAGAAGAGAGTCCATCGTAAGCACAACAACGAGGCGCACTGAAATGTATTAGGTGCTTTTAACAAGGGAGATATATAGTATGTACAGGAGAAATATACTTACAACGAGCGTAATACTGTATTATTCAATATTTTTACATAGTTTTTCAGCCTACGGGCTCGCTTGTTCGCTCGTGAGTCGAGGCCGCGAGGGCCGCATCGGTGCGAATCACTCGCGCTCTTAAGTAACGTTCAAAAAATTATTATATATCTATATCGGAATGCGTTTCTTCCTTTGTTCGTCAATTTAACCTACGTGTGTGACACGCGCGATGTCGCGTCGCACCGGTGTGGACCTTTTAGCGGACTAAGCGAAGACATGCTGTATTACAACGATACCTATACAAACCGTGTGTAGCGAACGATACGGTTCGAGGTCTTTTTTCGCGAACGGGCCACAAAAGCGTCTGTTACCGTTCGTGTTATGCTACAGTACGGCGGTATAAAAGTAGTCGCTTCTGCCGCGAGGACGAAGCGGAGAGTAGTCGGGGCGGTTCACACGTAGTGGTTGTCGGCGGGCAGCATGGGCGCGGTGTCGGCCAGCGGCGCGTCGTCGTCGGGCGGCAGCGGGTCGTCGTCGGGCGGCGCCGCGGCCCAGTCGCGCGGCCGCGGCGTCAGCCCGCACGCGCCGCAGCCGAAGAAGTCCGCGCAGTTATGCAGCGGCCCGCGCGAGAAGGGCGAGCGGCCGCCGCGCGCCTGGAAGTGCCGGTAGCGGCCGCGGTTCAACTGCTCGTTGGTGGTCATGCCCAGACACACCACCAGGTACAGTTGGCAGGCCGTCAGCACCGTCACCCAGAACAGGTGGAAAGCGGCGTTCACCATCACCCACATGAGCCACGCGTTGCAGTGAGCCCACTCGAGGGTCGTGTCCAGCAGCGTGGCGTTGGCGCCGCCCGCCGGGCACTCGGCCGCGTAGTACTGCGCACCGCCCCACAGCGTGAACGCGCACATCACTAGCAGGCTCGCCAGGAACCCGATGAAGTGTCGGTGGTTGTTGGCGCCTGCACAGAACGCGCATTGCTTACGGCGGTCGAAACGGCGAATGCGAAGGAAACTAGCGAGGCAACTCGTAGGTCAATCGCTCTCGCCCAGCGACACGAGGCCGTGACGAGTGATTGATTGCGGAGTCGCGTGGGCTGCGAGGGCACGCACCGATGCAGTTGCCGACCCACGGGCAGTGGTGGTCGAACTTGGCGACGCAGCGGTTGCAGACGGAGCAGTGCTTGGAGCGCAGCGGGCGGCGCACGAGGCAGGCCGAGCAGAAGCGGGCCGGCTCGAAGCCGCCGCGCGCGCCCTCCGACAGCTCCACGATGGTGCGGAACTTGTCCTGGCGGCTGGCCGAGATCACGCCGGGGTCCGAGCGCCACGCCCGCAGGAAGAAGTACCACAGCACCGCGGAGCACAGCACGAACAGCAGCGTCGCGCCGAAGCCCACCGCGCCCGCCACGAACGCGAACCACGTGATGTAGAACCACGCCTGCAACCAAAGGCCGTGCGGGTGCGGGGCCGCGGCGTCGCCGGGGCGGCGGGGCCGCGGCGGCTACCTTGGTGGCCAGGTACACGCTCAGCGGGAACACGTTCTTGAGGTCGTCGTCTAGGAGCGCGGCGGTGAGCGCGTGCAGAGCCGCGCCCAGCGCGACCAGCAGCGCCGCTTTGGCGTACCACGGCGCCGTCAGCTCCAACGCCAGCCCCGTCAGGTAGAACGCCACGAACGGTATGCCCACCGCGCACCACCAGCGCAGCTTCTGCAACACGGCCTGGCTGAGCGGGCCCGCCGGCGCGGCCGGGGCGAGGGGCGAGGGGCGGCGGGCGCCTCACCTTGTCGTAGGACAGCCGGCGCAGGAAGCCCCGGCGGCCCTTCGCCGCCTCGCGTTCGCGCACTTTCTCCCAGACGCGCGCGCCCACCCACACGGCGGCGTCGCCCGCGCCGCCGGCGCCGCCCGCCGCCTGCAGCATGGCCAGCGGCGTCACGCCGCGCAGGTTCGGCACCTCCAGGCTGGCGTTGCCCTGCCGAATTGCACTCTTCACGCGTTTGTCACATGGCTTTTATAGCGACGGCCAGTTTCTGTACCGGAGGTCGACTGCCCGCTAACGAACCGAATACGAACGATTGCAAAGTTCGAAGTGACTTAAGTACGAATGGAGCTATCGGTGCCTGAAATTGAAACATAGTTTAGGAAGACTTGCGTTGTCGATAACCGTCAATTTTCATTTTAGTATGCACAACTTTTCAAGGAAAACAAAGGTATAGAAAACACTGACATTACAGTGGTGTTGTTTTGAACAGAAAAAAATATTGTGGTATGCCGTCCGTGTTACGAAACATCTGAGGAATACGCACAAACCAAGAGGGTATCCAGAAGTATAGGTCATCATCTGACAATACAGGGTAGACTTAACAATTTTATTCATAATAATTGTCATCTAATTAGTCTCACAAAGTCATTAATAAAACGCAAATGCCGAGAGTGCAAAGCAAGAGGAGAGTCCACAATGCAGATTTCCGTGAATACCACAGTGACATAACATAAAGAACAATAACCACATGACTAACACTCAAGTTTTTGAAAAATTAAATAAATGGCGTCAACCTGACAGTTATGATTGCAAATGAAAAAAATGATTTGGAAAGATAAGTTACATAAGCAAGTACTAAGTAAATTTGAACTGGTTGAGTGGCTAGAAAAAATACCATGTTAATATGTAAAGGTTCTATACGAGAAATATTTAAGTCCGTATCAGAAAACTGAATGCATCAAATTATGTCCATTATTCAAATAACTTTCACAACTAAAAAAATATTTCACTACAAATATAATAACTGTCTAACAAAACTAGTATCAAAAATAATTTAAAAACATGTATCAAACCTAGACCTCTACTAATTTCTCATGTTCATTTATTAACAAAAATATGGTTTACATAACAAAAATACTGATTGCACATCAATTTAAATAAACTCTAAATGAAATAACAATTCTTTTAACAAAATTACTGTAATTTTTCTCAAAAGTTGCTCCACAAATTATCTTCATTTATACAATGAATCACGTACAACAAACATATTTATGATACAACAAATAACACATATTGCATAACATTATTTTAAAAATGTCATCTGATTTACTGAAAATAATCGGGGCTGTGAAAATGAAACTGCCCTCATTTTTTCAAAAACTAAATGCATACAGTCATGTTGTAGGGCTCGCGATCCGGCTTATGTATGTGGTGCCACCAACAGACGCCAAAAATGTTCTGATCGGGCAGAAACAGAAGCGTATAATTCAATAAGTTTTTTTTATTAACTAATTATGTCCCCATGCGGGGCAAAGGTTAATAAAAGTTAATTCATATTTTTTTCTGCTTTTTTGTTTTAAGCTTTGGAGCTGATTTTCTTGTAAGCAATTCATAATATTGGAAATAAATTAAACCTGTACTTGCAAATACAAAAAAATACTAAGATTTTCAAGCATCTAAGCAAAGTCTACTTTGTTGCAAAGTTTGTGTGCAACTTTAATTTTTTTTTTTTGATCTTATTGTCTTGGACAAATTATACAATTATACCATTATGTTAAATAAAATGGTGTTTCATTCCGATAGACTGATGTACCTTTTGGTGAAATAGGTGTTTTTTGTCACAAATTTTTGGGTCATATGTTTGTTGTATGCCAGAATATTTCTGGCATATGTATTTAGATGTTACATATGCAATATGCATTGCGATAAAACGTTATGCATTAATTTTAGTACATAATGCTAAATTAATTTTTTTTTATGTACTTATTTTGGTATGCAATTAGTGTTGGGGAAGATTTGGTTGTGAAAAAACTTGCTTTTTTATAATACTACCTGTTCTATACAGGAGGTGTTCAAGCACTTAAGTAAAAACGTGATTGTGTATTGAAAGTGTTATGTAAACTTTTGTAAACTTCTCGTAGAACCAAGAATCGCTAAGTGATGTCAAATTATAATGGGCAGTGTTGAGGTGCTCCTGTGAGTCTTCTATTGTACCTATTACTTGCTTTACTTGCTTTCTATATAGTGAATATAATAGTTTAAAAACAAATTTACAAACTGTAATAACATTCTGATACCTACAATTCAAATAAATTTACTGCACAATATATACCCAAATAACTTCCTAAAACCACGTCTTTGTTTGGCAACTGGACAGCAAAATTTTTAATATTTACTAAAATATCTATAAAGGAGAAGGGTCACAGCCCGTTGAAAATTAAACCAGTCCTGGTGCAAAAGAAACCTATCTCAGAATTATGCTTATATTAGGTAAGTAAACTATGTATAGGTTTTATTTTCGATAGCAGCGGATAACATGTCCATATTGTCTTTTGTTGTTGCTCCGGTGCATAGAAACAAGTAATGTATGTTCATGTATAAACAAAAGCCACCACAGATTTTATTCTCTGTTCTTCAAAAACTATTTAAGGAAGTATAAAATGACCAATAAAGATTGGAATACTGTAGTAAAATAAAGAAAACAAATGAAAACTATAGGTACAAATTATTTTTGTTATAAAGACTCATCAATAATAGAAGCTATGAATGTGGACTGGACAACTCAAAATTAGAAATTCATCCAAAAATATTTTCTGTAAACTCTCCTTATTTATGGTATAGTATTAAGCGTAACAGGAAATTGCCATTTTTTTTCGAAAATATTGAGAATACCAAAGAAAATACTGATTGTACAAAATATCTTAGATCCTTGATCTAAGTTGAATATGTATAATAAACAAATCAAACTTACTGGTAATAGCATTAAGCGTTGTATGCTCTAAGCAATAAGTAAATCTGTTAATATAATATATGTTAACCAGCTCAGAAACATGAACAGAAACCAATCTGTTTCGGCTTGTGTGGAAATTCCATTGTAAGATTGGATTATATAGTGTGCATATCAGTCTTTTAGGTGCACTGTGAATATTTTTGTTTAAAAAACTATATTTCTGTTTGATCAGCAAGACTTTTGGTGCGGACTAGGTGAAAAATGTCTACTTTTGATAGGTTTTATAAATTGTTGGTACTACAGGTATTAATAATTAATTGGAATAATCATTGGAACAATCACTGGCAACACTTCATGTGCTCAATATCTTAGTAAGAATTGTCCTCAGTGGGATAAAAGCCAAATACACTCAAAAGAATTTGTACAGGGTGGTACTGTCACCTTACCTATGTCTGACGCCAAGAGGTAATGAGCAATAATGCGGTTTGGTTTTGAAGGGTAAGGGTGCTGGTGGAATTACAGGCACAATGGACTTTACAACTTATTCTCAATGTGACGGATGCAGATCGTTGAGTTTTAAAGCTTTTGTGTAGTACTGCAACTGTTAGGGGCCAGTCCATTCGCTTACCCCCAGGTACATGACTTGTTCACCCTGGCACTTAAAAAAATATCCAGAACGTAACATAAAAAAATATCCAGATATCAGACTGTGACAAATTCGTATACTGGGATAGTGTTCAAATCTGTGGTTTACACAGTGGCCACTTTTTTCCTTGACCTGTTTTGAATGGATTCCTTTACATACAACATACCAATAAATCAATGCAATCTGTTATAATATATTCTTTGTTATTAGATAGTACAATTACTCAGTAATAAGTCACGCTTATTAAAAGAAAGGTTCAGTAACCTTATTGCATGCTGGTACGTCATTAGTCCGTATCTGAAAATCAGTTCCAAAATTGTTGCACTTTACTCTGTCCACAATAATAATAAGCAGTAGTGGTACAAACAATCATTCAACTAACAGCATAGCATTTAATAAATTAATGGCTTAATAGACCTTCAGGTGGATAAACAATACTTATTAAGAAGAACTCGCCTCATTAAAAATTGTCAAAGAAATTCAATTAAATTATACTTTCTGCCATCTATGGTGCTAAAAGCAATAATTGAAATAAGTGTTACTCTTGATTCAAAGTTAATAGTTCTGTGATATATGTTGTTAATAAAGGTGTGGATGCCACATACTTCTGCAGCTCAGGTTTTAAATAGGTCTTTGATAAGTACCTATCCTGGGATGTTGTCTAGTCATTTAAATTTTGTTTAGTCACATTGATCCAGTTTCAACCTAAACTTATTAAGTTTTGGTAATTTAATGCTAAACTTCAGAATGATGTTCAATAAATGTTGAAATAAACAAGTTGCCTGAAGGTCACATGGGCACAGAATATTTGATAGTCTAGATATTTAGTTCAATTATTACACCTGCAACATAAATATTACATCAAATAACCAAAAGTTATTACGCTACAACATATCACATAGTTTAAACAAAAAATACTTACATAAAGAATAAGCGTTGATATGGCTGTGGCATTCCGAGCCAAAATTGCCCAGTGCAAAGCAGTATTGCCATGAGAGTTGTCAACGGGGTGTGGTGAGGCACCCAGAGTGAGCAGCAGGCGTGTGGGATCTACAGCTGCCACCTTCCAACAAGCCCACATAAGTGGCGTCATGCCACCTGCATCGCCCTCATCCACGTCTGCACCACGTGCCACCAGGTAGGCCACTACGGCCGTATGGCCAAACTGAGCTGCCAGGTGAAGACTAGCGCAGCCTTCTGCGTCGCGCCGTCTCATGTCCGCACCAGCGCGCACCAGCAGCACCACGGCCTCCAGGTGCCCCTGTCGCGCTGACCATTGCAGCGGTGTGGACTGCAGCTCACCGCCCACCGCGTCCACAAAGGCTCCGCGTGCTAACAGGTACTGCATGATCTCGCGTCTGTTGTTGATCGCTGCCCAGTGCAGCAGCGTCACTGTTTCGTGGTCGGGCTGGTTCACGTCCCATCCCGCCTCTACCAGCTCCTTGACTCGCGCGAACGCCCCATACTGAGTAGCTTTCACGATATCGAAGCCGCTGTAGTCGCGCTCCGGCGGCGGCGGTGGCGCACCGCGCGGCGCTTCCTCCGCGCGCTCGCGCTGAGCCGAGCCGCACTGACCGCCCGCGGCCGCCGCCGCGCCACATGTGCTCTCATACATTTTAAAGCAGCCCGACCCGAAACCTCGAGGGCCTGCCCTCGCTTCGAGCACAAGTCGGCACCCTGTGCACAGCCTGCGCCACTATCTGTAATGCCGGGCTATCATTGCCAACTTGAGCTCTCGCGTCCGATGTCAATAAAGTTCTTATTATGAACTTAACTATTGTAATATTTTGTTTAGTTCCACCCAAGAGAAAAAAATTATTTCATTTTTATTGACAAATTGACAGGCGAACGTACCACAGATTACTATATACTGAACGTACCATAGACATTTTTCTTCAATTTGTCTTATCTAAATGGATGGACTACAGTAAGAGAACGTACCGCCTCGTTTCCAGTAGTATTATATAATTTCATAGCCTACATTCGCACCACAAAATAGAGTCGTCACATCTTAGAGGACGGAAAAAAATAAAAGAAAGAAGCTGCCCTAACTACAGAATCAACGTGCATATAACCCAAAATTTGAAAGTTACAAATGGTGGATTTCTTTAGTGTTGTACCATAATCTATCGATAAGTCATTATCGACATGCAAATGTATGGCTTGAATGTTGAAACTGTTTTTTTTTTGTTTCTTTAGTTTACTGTAACCAAAGTATGCCTAAACAAACACAAGTCTAATAATTTTAAATCTCGAGTGGTATGTTATTATAAATGTCAACACATATTTTTAAACTTTTTTAAATTTATTTTCAAGATTACAACTGGTAACTTATTTAGTAAAAGTCACCAAACTGCTGTGCAGTTTGTTGGCGACACGCGCATTCTTACTTAATTATACCTACTTTACTGGTATATAACATTACATAGTATTAATTGTACTTACTAATAGGCTGTCTATACGTTGGTATTGGCCTTTACCCGGCAATGTTGGACTAATTTTTTTTTTAAATTTATTGCTGGCCATGAAACAAAGTCCTTCAGCCGAAAACATAAATGTTTAATTATATTTCTGTAAATATGGCCATCACGAAGAGGATAGGCAATTTGAGGCGGCGTGCTTGGATTGACTCGGGATTCCTTAGAACGGGCCGATACGTGTATTTTAGTTCGAGATTCGTATAATTTCGCGTTTTAATCTTCGATTTAGGCACAATAGCACTATCCTATTCCACCTTAAACTACATTTCACAAAATAATTGAAAGTCAAAATAAAAACGACACTTCCCTCCAAAAGGCCCAGAGCGAATCCCGTTGGACTAACATGTCATTGTATTGCAGGCTTTAAAAAAATAGTCATTTTTAATAGTTAGAGATGTCATTGGGAAAAAATCAGAAACGAGTGGATAATTTTGTTTTCAGGAACTGAGAGTAAGTAGCAAATGAGTTGTTTAATCTAAATTGAACATAATATTACAATAAATATAAAAAAATACTTAGATCCACTATACGACATTCTAAACGCAAAACGAACATAAATTACATAACCAAAAGTACAAATAAAACTAAAGCCACTTGGAATACAATTAAACAGAATACTACAACTACAAACGAAATACCAACAACAATCAAACATTTACAAACCGATCAAGGAAATATAACTGACCCTTCACAAATAGCTGAACATTTAAATAGACATTATGTTACACAAAGTTTTAATTCCAATTTTGTTAATAATTACAAATCTATCCAAGAACATGAAAGTAAGAGCGTATATTTGAATCCAGTTGATGAACAGGAAGTTCGACATATAATTAAAACTATTAAAAGTAAACGAAGTTGAGGTGACGATGGTATTTCAATGCAAGTGATAAAGACTAGTGTTGACATTATTATATTGCCACTAGTACATATAATTAATTTAATGCTACAAACAGGCTACTTTCCTGATAAAATGAAGATATCATTAATAAAACCTTTACATAAAAAAGGTTCCAAAGAAGTCTCCGAAAATTACTGGCCTATAGCTCTTTTTCCGAATTTCTCTAAAATATTTGAAAAGGTTATCTACAAAAGAATAACAAACTTTTTAGATAAACGTAACATATTTAGTCAGTTTCAATTTGGATTTCGTAAATGAGATCAACATTTCTATACATTTCTACATAGTTTGTGGGAAGCTATAAATCTTAAAAAAGACAGTATTGCACTTTTCTTGAACATGACAAAAGCGTTCGACTGTGTTATACACTCTATCTTGCTAAAACAACTTGACAAATGTGGTATTCGAGGCGTAGCAAATGACTTAATACGTAGTTAACTATCGAAACGTAATCAAGCACTATGTCTGACCGTATTTAGCAATAAATGCGTGCAAGAGGCCAGCCATCGACATAAATAATAATAAATAAATAACGCACACACTCAACATAGCCCCGCACTAGGGAAACCCTGTGTCGCGGGTGCCATGGACACACATATAGTCAACCACAAATTACACCCAAACGTATACCCATTATTAATGTATGGTGTAATTTTTTGGGTAAACTCTGTCAATGCGATTAAAATATTCACAATACAAAAACGATACTTACGCATAATCTATAGTAAACCCAGTGACTATTCTCTAAGAAGTCTGTACAAAGAAAAGGGTTTCCTGACTTTAACAGGAATATATATTTTGGAAATATGTCTTTATGTATGTAATCACAGTAATTTCTTTACTAAAATATCTAATGTACACTCCGTTAACGTCAGAAACAAGGACCGTCTTGTCCTCCCTAAAATAAACAGCACGATCTTTGACCGCAGCACCTATGTAACAGCGATTAGAATTTATAACAGACTTCCAATGGAAATGAAATGTTTAAATGGTGATAAATTTAAAGCTTGTTTAAAAAAATGGTTAATTGACAAAGTTTTTTACAATCTTAGCGAATTTTATATAAAGACATCAAATATTTGACAATTGTATAACTAACTTAATTATAATTTTAGACATTTAAGTTGTAATAAATTTTAATTGAATTGTAATTTTAAGACATTGTACGCATGATTTGGGTAAGAATTGTAGATCTAATCACTTGTAAGTAACACCTGTATTTTACCAATTCATGCAATAAATGTTTCTGATTTCTGATTTCTAAAATTATTTACCAATAAACCTAATCATGGAATAGCATTGTCATTGTTGTGTTACATTCAAAGTTCTGTTAAAATTTGACTCTTCAAAATGAAGCGAACAAATGAAGACGGTCTTTAATACAACGTTTATATTCGGCAGTCCTATGATTTCCAACCATTATTTCTTCCTTTTTTCATTTGTAGGAGAACTTGAAATAATAAAAATAATAATAATAAAACAATAAAAACCTCGTAGTGAATTGTTTTAATAACAGAATATCGTTAATATGTATGCTTACAAGATCAACACTATCTCAAAATAATCGTTAACTACAATCATCAAAATATACAAACAAACAGGCAATCTAAAGTAACAAAAGCAAAATTTGGCAAGATTTATAAATAAAGTACTTAAATAAGTCTAATTACATGAAATATTTGTGTGATTCATAGACAAAAAATAACACATGCCAGTGTAATGTAACATTCGATTGATTCGAACTTTTACTAAAGCCAGATCCTTTAATTCTGCATCGTCGCATTTTTATTAATACCTAATTATTCTCACTGTCAAATAGTGACCAATTTAATTATAACGCGAACAATTCAATAGTACATTTGGAAAAACATTTGTTTTGACATTTGATGTACTTCCCTTTGACAACGGTATCATGTACCTCATGCTTAGAGGATGGAAAAAAATAAAAGAAAGGAGCTGCCCTAAGTCTAAGACCTCATGTACTGCGAAATGGACACGGTTGGCATTTAAGATGACGTTAAGTATTTTCCATTACCGTGTTTGACACAGACCAATGTAATGCTATCTCTTTTGGCTTAAGACGACATGTAATAGTTAAACAAAGACAATATCATGGTTATGTTTCGACGTCGAAATGCGTCATATACATATAACGTCTGATTTATATATGTCAACGTAACATGTCCTTTAGTTTCCATAGTCTTAAGCGTCACATGGAGGCCCAATTTGACAACCAAGGAAGCCGATTAAACTTAGAATGCAATGGACGAATCAGTAGGTAAACAAATAAATATTTTATTAATAATGTAAATTTTAAAAAAACCTTTATTTTTAATCGTCACCAAGAGGCCAAATTTGACACTTTTTTATTTATAGTTTTGGCTTGGATACAAGTTTTTTCATTCATCATCATCGTCATCATCACTATTTCTTTCTTCGTTTTTATCTTCATAATATACTTAAAATAAAAATAATCTTTGTAAACTCTGTACTCGTAATTTCAGAAACCCACCATTTTTTTTTTCAATTTGACGTTTGTTATCGTGACGCGAATAGTGATGTCGTCTAATCATATCCGTAATTTTCACGAGAAGACGATTCAAAATTTTAAGAGTTTGTGATTGTTTCGTTAATTTCTCGGTTCATTGTTGTCAAATCGTGCAATTCTGTTAAAAGCAATTCATTTACGGAATTCTTTGAAATTCTGTAGCAATTACTCTCCTTTTCGTAAAATTGTCCCACATTCCGATGAAGCGTATTCAATTCTTTTAATTTTGACTTTATAATATTCATAAACGATTTATTACGAGAATTTAGTGTAAATAAGTAAGTATGTACGTCGATAAAACAAATACCAAGAAAACAAGAATTTCAAAAATTATCAATTATTCGACTGCCAAGAAGTTAAAAGTTGTCAATGTCAACAACAAACAATCTCAAATAATGTTCATAATTTAGAAATCAGGAACAGTCGAGTCACAAGATAAATACATAAAGAATAACCAAACGCACAGTTAACTTCCAAGATAGCGAAACACTGCGCGGCGCGCGGTGCGCGGCGCGCGGGCGCGGGCGCGGAGTGCCGCTCGATTGGTATAAAAAAGAAAAGGAAATACAAATCTGGCTAGGAGTATGGGGTAAGATGACAATGATTTGATTGATATTGATGATAATTATTTTTTCGATTTATAATTTGTAAATTATTAATAATATATAAAATTTCCAGTCAAGTTGAAAGCGAAGAAGAACTCGTTAATGGCATAATTTCGTGCGTGTCTTCGTAAAAAAAAAAACAATCTATAATATCGGGTATGCAGGCGGGAGATGTTTATGAACCTATATGGTTTATGCTCACTGGTTCGCATATACCGCCATGCTCAGATGATAAAACAATAGGCAGATGGAGCACGTCGAACACGAAAGAGAAGCCACCAAAGCAAATACAAATTCAAAAGCTAATACAATCACGCGTCAGTACTAAACACAGCGTCGCACTGTTTGCACGTCACGTAGTTATTTCGTAATTAGAAATACCGTCTAGTGTCTTTAAACATTGTACAAGTTGTTTCCAAAAACAAAAAAAAATAAGTTGGAATATCTTTTCACATGGAACTTATTGATTACCTATTTAACTGTTTTGTAATTTATTTACCCAATATTTTTTAAGATACGCTAGGAACTCAACACCTCGACATAAATTAGTATGTGTTCCCAGTTTATATCGATGAGTTTCCTTAAATTAAATGCATGGGTGATAGGAGCATCGATTAATTTAAAGTTTTATATAGAAATTAAATGATTCATGCATATACATACAGGCTGGTCCATTTACAGTGGTCAAAAATTGTTTTTAGGTAACTCAGATTTACCTAAATTATTCTCAAACCAATATCTGCACAAGCCATAATATACATAAAAGAAAATGTAGCCCTATAGATACAGAGAACGTTCATTGTTGTGTGCACGTGTCACAAACAGAGAGATTTTGAAAGAAAACGTGTCAATAAAATAAAAATAATATTATAATGTATAACTTCACAGGTTCTAAAGAGTTTTATTGAGAACTAAACAATATTCGTCAAATTAGAAGATGATCGTCAATGCTATGGAATTTATTACAAAATTAATAATTTAATAAAATAAATAATAGACAAGTATGTGATGCTGCGATTGCACTACATATCAAAATTTTAAACGAATCCTGAATGTATAGACACGAAACGGTAGTATTATAAAAAAACGTGTACAAAATAAAGGTTATTAAGATATTGTGTAACTGTGATTGTAATAAATATTTCGAATTATCAAAGTTTTTCAATTTTAAAATATCTTAATAAAATATATTTTCTTTTGTGTGATGTAAATGAAATAATGACAATTAAATATTAACTTATATTGCATATAATTTGTTTGATATCCTAATATCACTTAAGTACCTATATTGCAAAATAACATTTCCAGTTTGTAACATTAGTATTATAGAAAGCTGTTGCTTTGAAAAATTGCGGTTTTTTTCACTGCATCTGGCAATCTTAACGCACACAAATGCGCATGTCCCTACAGTGCCCTTCCTGTCGTAGTTGTTACAACTGCTACTGGCGTAGTTGTTACAACTGCACACAAGAAATGAAAAGTGGCTTCACATCGTTTGTTGCGTATGCTCCATCTGCCTATTGTTTTGTAATCTGAGCCGCCATGGAAAATTTCTTGGGATCAGTGTGACTGCGAACGCACAATAGACATTGAAGATAATGTAAGTACCTATTTTTATAGATACCATTGTATATACGTAGGTGTCGCGTGCAATGAAATGTAAACGTTTGTTAATTTTCGAATATAATTATGTAAATATTAGATATTCCAAAAACAAGTACTTACTTTGTATCATTTCAAAAATATGTAGTAAGTAATCATGTCGTGAATTTTTTTTAAAAAGATACTTTTATTTCAGAGAAAAATAAACAACCAGTGATAAATATACACTCGGTGTTTTATATATTTATCCATATCATTTTCGTAAAAATTGTTACAAAGCATAATATGCATTTTTTTAAATTACGTTTGTCATTTTATCATTATTATGCAACCTCTTTTAAAACTACGGAATTTATTCGATTTTAGCACAGATTACAGAATATATTTTAGTCAGAATCTGCCATCAAATTCGTTGAAACCATGTCTTTCTAATTTGTGATTGAAACCAATTATAATTAGAAAGAAAGAAAGAAAGAAAGAAACATTTATTCAGTACCTTTAAATTGTATGTAATTACCCCATTACCCCATTTGAGTGTTGTCCGAAAATTTACAATAACCTTTTTTTTGTATACATTTTAATGAAAATGCATTATACATATAAATATTTACGAAAATGATATGGATACATGCCATGAAATACCAGTTCATATTTATATAGAGTTTATATTTACCATTGATTGTAGTTTTAAAAAAAACTCGTGTCTTTTGACTCATGCTCGAAAAACCGCTCATGACGCCATCGCACGAGTAGCGATGCGAGTCGCGACGCGATTAGCGAGCTGACCGTTTACATATGCGTGTCGTGTATCGCATCGCTATTCGCGTCGCCATTCGCACGAATGTAAGAACGCGTTTCAGCTACTCGACACGAATGTTTCGTAGAGTGTTTCGACGAAACATTCGTGTACAGCGAGCACGATAGTGTAAATGCGGTGTATCCTTTTCGTTTCGTTTTATTGTTTTTTAACACCGAAACGCAATAATACATTAAATATTTTATGCGATTAAGTAAAAAACGTCATGCTAATAAATACCTATCTAGCTTGCAAAAAAATATTGACGATTTTTTGCAACACAATAATGACCGGTGCCTACGATAGTCAAGAGCACGTCAAACTTGACACTTTGTACAGTAATATCTTAGAGGATGGAAAAAAAAAGATAGTAATACACATGACATACCTGACCCATGTTACTCGTAGGACATACCCGTTCCGACCTTTTGGTTCAGAGAGCCATATTGTGCAATACGTATATTGCACAAAGAAAAAATTAAAGCAATTTCAACGTTACAGTATAAGCAATACAGTGGAGTGTTGTTTGAAGATGATCAACATATTATTAAAATCAATCCTAAATTTTGTCATTTAACATCCAAGTAAATTGGTCGCGCGGCTTGTTGTATGGACTGCCACTTACAATACCCGTGGTTCGATTCCACGAGCACATTTTGTTTTAACGTTATATTTTTAACAGCATTGTTTCACTTTTTAATATTAATGTGGAATGTGATGTTAGTGTCTATTTTATGTTTGTCTGTTCTATTTTTACACCCATTTACCGCACATTTCGTCATTTTTAGCAAAAAATTTTGGAGCTGTTCGCGGTGCAATTTGACCTTGAGCACTAACAGCCCGCGCGCTCCTGGGAGCCCGTGTGGAAGCCTTTAACTTGCCTCACTTAGCGTGTGCGGGCTAGGTTTCTATGCGTTATTATTCTAAGGTTCTAACTTTCTTCGTCACTATATCTTTTTTCGTATTTTCTTCATAATATCCTTAAAATAAAATTTATCTTTGCAAAAACTGTACTTGTAATTTCAAAATTTATACACAATTATAATGAGAAAGAAAGCCTTTCCGAGCTAGTGAGTGAAAATATTTTTTTTTTCTCGTTTTACAGATGTCACCCATTACACACTAACCAAACTTATGACAATTAAATGTCCAAAGCTTTGTTCTCATCTTTATTTTCCGTTTCAAATCATTAATGACACTTTTGTTTCAATACGATCTTAGACGATTCGATTCGCCTTAAATTTGAATCGATTTGCTAAAAAATCGCGTTCAAATTAATCGATTCACAAATCGCTAATATGTATGCAATCGAATCGATCTTCATAAAAATCAAATCGTAATGTGCGCATCCCTAAACATAACCTCTCCTCCGTCGTATTATTTTGTAAAAAATTGTCAAAGCGATAGGAAAAGAATCTATTGCATAAAATTGAAGGCTCACGGCTGAATCCCATATTTACACTGTTATCTAACCTGTAACTAACATGTTTCGTTTGCCTTTTGGCGAAAGAATCGATCCCATGGAAGAGAAGCGGCAGGCAAGAGAAAATACAATTCACAGCGTGATAACGTTTTGTGTGCTCTGTGCAGCTATTAGAATCGGTGTGTATTATTGAGTGCGACATATCGACTGTGAACTGACAATCGGTACTATCTCGATTTTGACAACTTTACAGGTGAAGAATAAAATTGCGTCATTTATATAGCATCTGGTTTATAACATAAAAATACGTATTTTTAAATATTTTTCTTACACATGTATGTATGTATGTACACTACGTATTTTTATTTAATAAACCAGATGCTGTTTAAATGATTTTATTCTTCATCTCGTTAAGTTGTCAAAATTGAGATAGTACCAATTGCCAGTTCACAGTCGACATATGACTGTTTATATTTGCAGATTCAATAAACTATTTCCTCGATTGTTGTAAGATCTTTTATTAAATGAATTTTGTGCCTAGTTAATTGTTTTAATTTGCAGCACCTTTTCTGCTGGAGCAGGGCAGCTTCTCGTGATGGGCGTGCCGACTTTAAGATTATGCTTCACCTACACCACTCTTCACAGCGGCATTTCTCCATTAAAATATTAATTTAGTTATAGTTAAAGCTATTTATGTAGGAGATAAAAAAGACATAAAACAAGGATGTAATAAATTACACTGAAGTTTATTTCTCGTCCTGAATACATATTGACCAATGTTACTTTAACAATAACCTTGCATCATTTCACAACTTTATTACAACTCACGCAACATACATTTCTTAAATCTGAGGGATTCATTTGCATATTTTTTGTGTATTTACTTTATCTAGTTACAAAATTCTAAAATTTGATAATACAATGGAATTTAAGCGATCTTACTCAGTTATCACTAAGTCCATTTAGCATTGAAAATATGATCATGATATTAATAATAAAAATTGATTTAAGTTCTCCATATATATATATTTTTTACAATTCCAACTAAAATACGCTCAAACACGGGAGGGGCAGATCGGAGTGCAATCATACATCCAAACGAACACTATACATTGTATACATTTGTAAAAGTATCAAAATCGAGTAAAAGGCCTACAAAAAATTATCTCGAGATACTAACATTTGTTTACGTAGTAGTAACCTATAAATTGACCTATTTAACACTGGAGTCGCCGTCGCTGCGGCGAATCTAGCGTTAAAGGGTAAAGAAGGTAGGTATTTAACTATTTGGCTTAATAATATTTATATAGTGAGATGAGCGCGAAATAAAAGCGGTGCGAGCGCAACGCGGCGCTGGCGGCGGGCGGCGGATGCCTCCCGCGGCTAGTCCTCCACTTCCTCGTCCTCGGACTCCTGCTGCTGCAGCCAAGTCAGCCACGTGTTCACCTGCCGCGCATACACACTCGATAAATTATTGTTACTAACGCTCTGTACATACCCAAACATCAAGGCTTACAGGTTTACACACCTGGAAAAGAGCCTCGCCCTTGCCAGGGTATGCGTCAGTGACGTCCTCGCGCCAGCGCAGAAACGCGTCCTCTTCGCACACCTCTAGATTGTACAGGTACATGAACCAGCGCAGCAGCATACCTGTGTACAGCAATCGCCGCCCAAGTGCAACATTAACGTTAATTGCATGACTCAAGTTACTGCTAACTAAAATGTACACATTTCGTAACGACTTCTTGAGATGTCTTAATTATAACGTAGTTACAACAGTTTCCAACGTGGAATCGGCTGTTTTACCGCGCACTAGTACCATTTAAGCAAAGCCGACTCGCCGTCGACGCGGTCGGTCAGGCATAGACGTGGCCGTTCTGGCGTCGTAATCGGCGCAGTCGTTCAGACACCGTCTCGCAACAGGGAATATAAAATGTGGCTTTTGCAACTTCGGAGTCGTTCGGCTGCCAAAGTAGGCATTCGATGCGGCCATTACATACTCCGGCGGAACCACTTTTGAAACTCGAGAAACATAGCCCCTAGCTTAGATCTGATTGCACCCAGAAAAAGTCGTGAATTAGTCGCGAAATTTTAGAATTAGTCGCCCCTTTCTATGTCTTATGAAAATTCTTTAGAATCTGGTAAGAAGTGCAAAAATACTTCAATTAATATGGATATGGACTAGATTAATATGGATTCGAACACGTCTTTGGTTCATATATTCAAGGGCTACGATCAAAGGGAGAAAGTAATGAAGCAAAAATCGTGGAGTTATTGAGATCTGCAGTTGCAGAGAAAAAGTATCAGTCCTAAAATTGATGAACGACTGTAATAGCATCCAAACGCGGAGCGATCAAGGACTCAAACTAAAGGGCTATTTGAAGATTGACTCTTTGAATCCATCGTTAATTGTTAAGGAAGCAATGGCGTTCAAGTTAACATGAATTTTTTTTACCATAATAGACTGCAAGTAGCCCAGGTATTAACCGACATTCCTTAAAGTGCAACATGTAACATTTGCGGCGCTGCTCCACGTCTAATGAACGATTTACAAAATGTAACTGCTTTTCGTTATAGATTATCAATATTGCACGCCTGAACTCGCTGTACGGAGACGATTTTGCATATTACTTACACGTGACGAAAATAAACGAATGAAACAAAGGAAGAAAACTATAGTACAAAAACGCTTTCGAAAAGAACTTGGATTAATAACTACGACAAGCCGATTGAGCTGGCGTGCAAAAGAGGAGGCCTGTACCCAGCAGTGGGTGTTAATAAGCTGAGATGAACCACGAGAATGAGGTGGTAATACCAATGACAGTAACACTGCGAGGTTTTTTTTTATAATGCAGCCTGCTCTGCTGAAATTACTAGCGGGGCGCGTAATGATCTGGGCTTATGGTGGTGTAGTTTATAAAAATGGAGAAATTGTAATTTTGAAAAAAAAATAATTGGGATTTTTTAATTTAACAATATCAAACGTTAAAGAGGCAAGATGTAACTGTCTGCGAGATTCCATATTGAGTATACACGCATTGTTTAGTGAAGGCATGATGTGACTCTTAAGCGGAACATCGAAAATAAATTGAGCACGCGTTGTATGTAAGCGACTTGTTTTGTATAACAGTCGAGGGCCATAAACAAGATCTGCGTAATTGAGACGAGAAAACACCAGTGACTCGCGTATAGTGGTCCTAACTCTCTCTGATAATAAGTTTCTAATTTTATACAAGACTTTCAATCTATTATAGAAACAGCTTCTTACAAGATTCTCTGAGTGTCTTTCGAAACGTAATTCGCTGTCTAACACCTAGATTTGTAGCCACCTAGAATACTAACTAGTGGTGACTTATTTAAAATTTTAACCTTAAATCCTAACCTAACCTTATATCCAAGCACCACAAACTTGGACTTATTAGGGTTTAGTAGAAGCGTTTTTTGAGTCTCACTCAAACTGGTGTCGGTCACTAAGATAATCGCCGAAGTATTGTACCGCCTGTGAGTCCAGTCCGTAGTAGACTAATTTTGTAAGCAAAAAAACTCGAGAGAAGTCCAAAAGAGAAAGAATTGTACCACGGCGAGCGTCCTGTGCCGCCAGTATTATTGTACGTTAAGTCCAGCACAGCTGTAACCGTGCCACGACCCCTTGGGAAGCCCGACTGAGGAGAAGGGAGAATATTGTTCTTATCTGCCTCTGTGGCCGAACGGTTACCATGCCGGACTGCCACGCAGAGGTCCCAGGTTCGATTCCCGGGCCGGGAGAAATAGTTGTATGGCCTACAATTATTGCTCTCGTGAGTTTGGGTGTAATTTGTGGTTGTCTATGTGTGTGTCCATGGCACCCGCGACACAGGGTTTCCCTAGTGCGGGGCTATGTTGAGTGTGAGTGTGTGTGCGTTATCTACATGACATAGAAGCTGGTAATATACTGCCTTTTCCAGATTTTTTCCAGAAAGAAAAGGCAGTACACTAGTAAAGTATACTGATACTAATACAGAAAAGGCAGTACAGTTCACTGGGATTGTCAGTTTTAGGTATTAGAGTGACCAGTGCTTCCTTCCTCAGTCTAGGAACCCTACCTGTCAGAATGGATTTGTTCACAATCGTAGTGATTATCGACAAAGTTGTTGGTATAATCCTTCAAGTCTTATCGTCTGGCGTAATGATAGATTCCCAAAATTTTGGGGCATATGCTTTGGAAACTGGAAGAATATACGTCAATAAATTTGCTTGGTATTATATGCCATATTCGGTACACATAATATTGATTCATGGAGAAGGTATAATTAATCATTTTGTAGTGTTACCTATCAGACAACTTTCAGGAGACGCTTAAGAGTCTCGTAATAAAGATTACAAAAAAATTTAGATTACACCACGCAAGAAAATGCTCAAGATGTGCTACAAATGAAGATGTATTTCACACGTTACTTTGTACTTCTGATCCATTGTTATTGTATCGATACCAGAAGCATCAATTAATGTAGTGGGTTCAAACGGAAAAAAACCACAGTTTTTCAGGAGAGCCAAAAAACTATTTTATTTTTTAAATCTGTTTATGACTTTTTACTGTCTGCTCGAATTTTGATTGTGTCTGCTCCGATTTTGACTGTGTCTAGAGCAACGTTTCTTAGAATTTCCTCTTCTTTCATGCTATAAACGAAAGATTTGTGGTTCAAAATATAGCACGTCCCTTACATTAAAAAGAGATGTTAGGCTTACTGTCCGCGGCATGCAAACTGCAAATGAATGAATCTTAGTTCTGTCCACTTATTGTTATTTATTATTACTTATTATTGTTCAATAATACGAACAAAATTAACCACTGATGCCGCCATTTTGCGAAATAAACACGTCTTTGCGTCTCGCAACACGCTCGTCGCACGAGCTTCATGACGAACGCAAATGCGGCGTTGCCGCTCCAGTGGACACAGTTTCGTTCGTTTCTACGCAAGATGCAAGCATGCAGCACGCAAGCGTAAAATGACGATAGCGTGCGTATGACGTGCAGTTTATGTGGACAGTAGGCCTTACGTTACTAATATTTTATGTGTAAACCGTCGAGCATAGTGTAAGCAGGAAAAGAAATAGATAATTATATCTATTATAATTATATTTATATATATATAAGGATCCTTTACAATAGAATTACGTACAATTTTCTACGTTATTCTACGTTACGTATAAAGGATCCTTATGCTCGACGGTTTACACATAAAATATTAGTAACGTGAGGCACAACTAAACATCTTTTTTTATGTTTTTTTTTAATGCTATATTTTAAACCACTGGGAGTTCCTAAATTTTAATAATACCAAATAGAGCAGGAACTTCCGAATCCAATGATATATGTAACTCATTTCGGCAGATAGAATCTTTAAAAAAATCTGTATACATGCTTATGTAGTTTGTTATGTGCCTGCCCGACTCGTACAAGACATATGCGCTCCTTGCACACGGGCTCAGCACGTTCAAACTACGCGAAACACTCTGTTTTGCATAGAATTGTGCGTACTTACGAGGACAAATTTAAAGACGTTGATATTTTCTTTTTGAACCGTAACAAATTTATTAATTCTTTGAAGGAACTCCCCCACTTCAAAAGGTAATTATTGTTATATAAACAGAGCACAAGCACGCATATACACATACACCTGCACACAAATGCGCATACTGTACTATAGTATTATTGTAAGTCGCTTCATTTAAAAAATATAGTAATTAAAAAAATAATGTCTAAATCAATTAATACGACGGAATTCGGTTATAATATTTTATCAATATGTATTTCAATTTGTTTGATTGTTCTTTGATAAACAATATTTTAAGCAGCTTCATTCTGGCAACGAATTAGTTTTTACGTAACGTAAAAAAATGTATTGTAATCTGACAAACTTTGTAATTGACTATGTAAGTACATTATTCAGAATTGTAAACCAAATTTAAAAGCTGTAAAGTTTGCAAGTAAATAAATAAATACTTTATATAAATAAATAAATTTTCGACAAAATCCCTTACGGTAATCGATTTTACGGTAATCGATACTTCAGCTGCCCCCGTAGCATGGCCACGCATGATAGTCGCGACGCGCGCGCTGTTGGCTATCTAAATTAGATCTGACTGAGACTGAGGCTGGTATCGATATAATATAAAGCTATTTTTTCCGATTCACTTATAGAAATAGAACGCATACTTCCCGATATGGTGGAAAAAAGACATCTATGCCGTTGTATGCGCATAGGTTTCAAAACAAGGGGATAAGCACGAGATTACCGGAATATGGAAAATATAAAAGAGTGATTAACGGCCTGCAAAACCTATAACATACGGAGGGAACGTTTGCGCACTTTTATGAGGTACACGCTGGGCAATTTCTGCCGGAAGTAAAAAATGTTCGAAATTCAAATAAATAAGATGGGCGCCATACAGCTTTCAAAGTCTTCTATAACGGAAACAATTAGAGATAGGTACGAGGTGCTCGAAGGAATGTCATAGAGGGTAACAGTGGTTACCTGTCTGTGTCAAAAAAAATCAAGATGGCGAATTCGAAATGGTGGCCGAAGAAAAAATTGCTTCGATCCGAATTGACATTAAGGGTCTTTAGGAGACCTTAATCATAATTTGAGATTAAAAGTTTTTTTGCCATTTTTTAATATGGCTGCTACGTAAGCGTTATTTTTGTTAAAAACAGCTGACGGAAGAGACGGATCAGAGCCGGCTGAAAATTGGCATGTGGAGGCCAGTAGGAGTGGCGGATAAAAATCTGTACTCACAACTGATTTATCGCCATTTACAAATATGGCCGCCGTACAGGGTCAAGAACACGTCAAGCTTGACAGTATGTATGCCGCTTACGGTAAGAACGGTCCAAAGACAAAGTGTCAAGCTTGACGTGCTCTTGACTGTAGAAGCGTTCGTTGGCGGCAGAAAAACTAGGGGGACTAGGCGTAGGCTTGGGTTCCATCCGTATGTTGCGGTTATTCCAAAGATTCGCACGTAGCGTTACGCTTCCACATTTATATGGCGAACGGCTATGGAGTGGAATTCCCTGCGTGCAGACTTGTTCCCTGAACGTTATAACTTGGGCCTTTTCAAGGCGAGAGTGAATAGGCTTTATTTAGGTGTGCATGCTCCATCACCGACCTCAACGTCACTTTCCATCAGGTGAGATGGAGGTCAAATGCGCACTAATATTTTACATTAAAAAACAAATGTCATATTTTTCCTTGTCTTTTTTTACTTCATATTATTTTGTAAAATTTATAATAACATTTAATTTATTTCATGAAAAAGAATTATCGTAACCCTATATCATTTTGTTTTTTAAATAAATATTGGATAGTATGTAGCAGAGAGAGATAGAAGATTTTGAATATTTATTTTTCTCTCAATTACGGGTAGTTAAATAAAAATGTATATGCGTTTCAAAACTACACAATTCCCACTATGTATAAAAAAATGAAAGTGATTTCCCATAATGCAACGCCGCGACCGCTTGGCAATTTGAGTTTGAGAAATTAGATATATTATTATTATTATTTAAGAATAATATATCTAATTTCTAAAACTTTAAAGGCTTTTTTAATAATGTTAACTAGAAAAGGACTGCTTGAAAATTTAATACAAGAAACTAAGGGAACATAATAAACGTCCAATGAATTTGAGAATTCTTAGAACACTGCGCACCATAGGGCATGGGCTATCTGCTGTCATTCCACATGACGATCTGTACCTACAAATCGACGGACATACCGAGCGATGAGCAGGATAAACGGTTTTGCTTTTGCTAGATCAAATAGTCTCGGTATTTATTATTCAATAACGGTCTTACTCAAAACATACGATAGGCTTTAAGGAAATTGTCTAAAACGAATTATTTAAGAATAACAGACCTAACTTGGCGCATAATTTTTATGTGGAGATATTTCTCTTAATTACTTCGGGAACCTGCTCAATTTTGGTTTTGAAGTCAAGCTTTGTAGTTCATAAATTCACATTTATTCCAAAATAATTAGAAAATTGCCCAGCGGTTTAACGACCCGACGCCCGCTGTCCCGTCAGTCGCCGTTTAGCGCCTGTCGACGTCGGATCTGTGTGAAATTTTCTGCGTCTGTTTTTATTCATATTAATTTTAAGGGTGCGGGACGCGAGGGGCGGTCCTCAACAGTGCTACAGCAATTATTTTATAGACCTTGGTTATTTATTTTATAGATCCAGTAGCATTGACTGCTGAAGAAGCAGAGTTCAAGTAAACTCCAAAGCTTTACCTATTAACGTCATATTTAAAGTTTAGGTAGGGTTTACTTTTGTAATCTTATATCGTCTTTTAAATGATATTTCTTTTTTTCTTTCGCTAAATTCTATAGCAGTAATAAACGACCTTGCGATAATGAATCTCCCTGGCCATGTACCTGTTTAGTTTCCAGGTAACAAATTTATAATTCGACTGCACTATTAGTGAACGCTCGTTGTAGGTGTAGCACTTTCTTCTAATGAACAACATTCGATAATCGACTCTAGCCAGAGTAAAAATATACTCGAATCTCTCGCGTCGCGTTTAATCAGCCATCGTAATGATATAGTACCACAGAGAGAGACCCAACTGACCCTTGGGGTATCGGTGGTGGTGCGCGTGCACCTGCACGGCGTACACAGCAGCCAGCTGCAGCTCGGGCCGGCCCTCCAGCAGCGCCGTCAGTAGCGGCGCGTATCCCTCCACCAGCGCCTGCGACCACACGCGTTCGCTCGATCACATGCCAGATTCGCACGACAGGGTACAGAGTTCAGGGAGCTCGAGTGGAAAGCAGTATTATGTTCGTTTCATGTAGGATGGGTGCTGCGACATTTCAAATTTCTACAACACGCGTACTATTTTTAGTTGCTTTCACAAAAATAGATAGTAAATTTGTCATAATATACCAAAAACGAACGACACTCGTTTCAATTGTGGTGACTGAAATGATGAAGATAAAAATAAATTACTCCGATTACTCGGTGCGTGAAACGGAACATTTGTCCATAGGGGTTTGCGCCATAGGATCGGTACATCGAATCGGAGGTTGCGTACCTCGCTTGAACGCGTGCGCAATACACCCCTTTATATTGTATGCGAGATGTTCGGGCGGACGTTTCTCATTCGGTTTTACACCTGTAGCAAGTCGAAAGGCGAG